GCATCAGGTGGCCCACTCCCGAACCCAGCCTGGCCTCCAGGCTGGCCACAGGCTGCCAGCCTCCCTGTCCCTGTGTTATCCCAGAGCATCGCTTCCGATCTTGACCTCTGACAGCCCACAATCTCTGTAGATCCTGCCGGTCGGGCTCAGGCCCAAGACTGGCCTGCACCATGTGTATTTTTCAAAGCTTTAAGTGTGTCGGAAGCATCAGTGAGATCATCTTTTGGAGAGAACTCCAGAGACCACCTTCAGTCACCAGATTGCCACCCACTCACTCCCCCTGCCCTTCCAAGGGGTCCTGGAAAGATGGCTGCCGCCCAACCTCCTTGCCCACTGGGCCAAGGCAGGTGGGGACAGAAGCAAGGGTGAGGGCCATATGCTCAGGGCCTCAAGAGGAGACTGGGAAAATGCAGCCGGCACCCCGCTAGGGTGGGGGATGACATGGAGGGAGACCTGTGGGTGCTCCTATCTCTTGCCTTCGTTACTGGGGGAGTCGAGGAGGGAGCACTATCTCTAGAACGTGCAGCTAGGACAGCACTGGGCCAGGAAGCGAGGGCAGTGAGTAGGCCAGGTAAGCTGGGCACCTACCCCACCCTTCCTGAGCAGCCACACCGGGCTAAGGCCCACTATGCCCTTGCTGCCCCAAGCGGATGAAGATAAATGCTCCAGGTGTCCCCTAGGTCCTCTAAACAGAAGGCAGAGACATTGCCCCTGGCCTACCCTGGACTGTGACCTTGAGATCCCAGGCCGTAAGAAGAGCAGCAGGGAGGGGGCAGAAGCTGTGGACACAGAGGATGCCCTCAAGGAAAGGGATGGAATCTGGAGGGGGTGGGTGCTGCTGTAGCTTGTGTGATGGCACCTACCAGGGCATTGGTGCAGGCCACTGTCTGGGCACCAAGCAGCCGCAGAGAAGAACACCTCCAGGGCTGTGGGGGCGGGGGGGGGGGTGGTCTTTGGGTGCAGAGATTGGATAGACACTTCAGTGAGCCAGGTCCTAGGAAGAGCCTCAGAGGGAATGAGCCTAAAGAGAATCCTTTGAGCCCAGGGCACCAGGAGCCCAAGGGAAGGGAAGGAGCCTACATTTCTGAACCCCAAATCAGGGCACAGACTGGTCTAGTTCCAGAACTGTGTCATCACCCCAGTGGGAGCCCCATTCCCATTCAGCTGTCACCCCCCATACCACCTTCCTAGCCTCTGCCACCGCGAACCTGTTTTCTGTCTCTGTAGATTTCTGTATTCTGGAGATTTCATAAAAGTAGAATCATACAATATTTCTCTTTTTGTGTCTGGTTGCTTTCACTTAGCACAAGTTTTTTTTAACATTTATTCATTTTTTTGAGAGCCAGAGAGAGAGCGTGAGTGGGGGAGGGGCAGAGAGAGAGAGGGAGACACAGAATCCGAAGCAGGTTCCAGGCTCTGAGCTGTCAGCACAGAGCCCGACGCGGGGCTCGAACCCAGGAACCGCGAGATCATGACCCGAGCCAAAGGCGACCGCTTCACTGACTGAGCCACCCAGGCGCCCCAGCATAATGTTTTCAAGGTCCATCCATATCACGGCACGTATCAGAACTTCATTCCTTTTTATGGCTGAATAATAGAGAGACCTCGCTCTATCCATTTATCCATTGGAGGACATTTGGGTCCTTTCCACCTATCCCAAGCTGCTGTGAATGGTCCTGCTGTGAACATTCACATGCAAGTTTGTTTGGTTGTTTGTTTGTTTTGAATACCTGTTCTCAGTCCTGTTGTTATATACCCCAGGGCTGGAATTGCTGGGTCGTATGGTAACTCTACGCGCTTCTTTTACTGAGGACCCGCCAAACCGCTTTCTAAGGCCGCTGCGTCTCCCACTCCACCAGCAACGTTAAGAGACTTCCAATTTCTCCGCATCTTCGCCTGAACTTGTTACCATCTGCGTTTTTAACCAGAGTCACCAGGGGTGCTGGTCATTGACTTTTAAGAGACTCAAGACTCCCTATGTTGGGAGAGCAGAGCCCTGAGCGAGGGTCTGAGCTGAACATCAGGAGCTGGGGGCCTGCAGCCCTCAAAAAGAGGCTGGCTGGCCCTGCCGTGCTCGGACCTGGGTGCTGGGGTGCAGAGAGGTCCTGCTTCCCTAACTGCCCCTGAGCGACGGGAGCCCACGAAGGGAAGCTAGCAGCCTCCCTGCCCCGCCCCCCATCCCTGGGCCCTGCCGCGTGTCCCCGAACCAGCTGGGTTACGCTCACCAGTCTACTGGCTTTGTTCCCTAATGTATTTCTGACAGTTCCCTTGTCACGGAAATTACTGTTTATAATCGAATTAAATGTTGTCGCAATGGTTGAAACGGAATGGCACAAACAAGGAGAAATGTTGTCGCTCATGAAAATTCCGTTGAAAGACACGATCTGAGTCACACAATCAGCTGTCGATTCAGGTGGTGGTGAGACAAATGTAAAGAAATGCCTGGGTGGGAGGAGCCTGACAGAGTCCACGTGATTCTAGTTGCCGACCACTTTGCGAGGTCCTCTCAGGCTGCCCTCCACCCCCAAAGAACCCAAAGCTGGATGTTGGGGACGGTGTCTCATCAGCATGGATTTCACAAGGAAGGCGACTTGGAACTCCAGGGGACGGACCCATCCATAATCAAAGCAGACGCCTTCAGAAGATCAGTGACTGTGCACCTTGTGAAAGTTAAAATAAAATGTGCTTCATGGGTCAAACTGTGTTCCCCAAAATGTTCTAAACCCCAGGGCCTACCAACGTGACTTTATTGGGAAATAGGGTCTTTGCAGATATGATTACGTTAACATAAAGTCATCGGATGGGCCCCAATATAGCACGAGGGAGAATGCCGTGTGACCAGAGGCAGAGATGGGAGTAACATGGATTGCCAGCCACCACCCAGATGAGGAAGGGGTGAGGAAAGGGTCCTACCCAGAGTCTGAGAGGGAGCATGGCCCTGCTGACACCTTGATTTGGACTTTGTCTCAGTCAGCTTGGGCCGTATAACAAATACCATAGACTGGGTGGCTTAAACAACAAGCACAATTTTATCCGGTTCAGGGAGGTTGGGAAGTGTGAGGTCAAGGTGCCAGCTGAGTGGGTTCCCCTTGAGAGCACTGTTCCTGGTTTGCAGACAGCCGCCGTCACACCGTATCCTCCTGTCACCTCTCTTGTGTCTCTTGTGAAACCAATCCCATTCCTGAGGGCTCCACCCTGATGACATCGTTACCTTCCAAATGCGTCACCTCCGAATGCTAAATGTAAAGTATGGAGGTGACTTTTTAAGGAGTCCCCTCTTCAAGTGATTTTTTTTTTCAGCAAATCCATCTGCTACCCAGTCCCAATCATCTGGGACAAGTGGGCTGACCACTGTCCCCTGAGCACACTGCTCAGAGCACAGCAGGGGTAGCCAGAAGCTCCATCACCCCACAGCCTGGATTTCAATCTTGTCTCTATCACCCATGTGTCACCTTGGAAAAGTCTCTTCACTGCCCCGCGCCTTGGTCCCTTCTACTGAAAAACAGGGTCAATTATAGGGGTGCCTAGGTGGCTCGGTAAGTTAAGAGTCCAACTTCGGCTCAGGTCATGATCTCACGGTTCATGAGTTCGAGCCCCACGTCAGGCTCTCTGCTGTCAGCACAGAGCCCGCTTCAGATCCTCTGTCACCCTCTCTCTGCACCGTGCATGTGCTCTCTCTTTCTCTCTCTCAAAAATAAACATTTAAAAAAAAAGAGAGAGAAGAAAGACAGGGTCATTCATTCACACATCCCACACATTTTCTGAGCATCATTTGCTATTCCAGAATCTGAGAGCAGCAGAAAGATAGACAATGTCCCTGTCCTCATGGAACTCGACCAGGGAAAGACAGAAAGTAAACAAGGAAATGCACAAACAAAATCTTGAGTTGTGGTAGTGAAAGCTAACAAGTGGGCCTGCTTGCTCCTGGCCACGGTGGTGGAGATAACGTTGGAGCCAAGGCCTGAAGGATGAGAACAAGCAGCAGGTGAGGCTTCCGGCCCGGGGGCAGAGCCGGGTAGCTCCCTGGACAAGGGAGGTGTGAGCAGGGGGGGCTGGATCTGAGGGCGGGAGGCTGGGGCCTGTGGGGTGGGCTTCTCTGAGCTCAGGTTTCCTCATCCATGAAATGGGAATGTTCAGGTAAGTTTAAGCTGCTGTAACAGAGAGATCCACAAGAAGCCAATGGCCCAAGGAAGGTAATGTATCTCACAGTGAACGTCCCCCCCTCCACACACTGTTCCATGTAGACATCCGGGGTCCCAGTTCCTTTCCTTCCTCTCTTTCTGTCCCTTAGGACAATTCCTCCTCTCCATAGTCAATGGCCTGCCCATGACTGGCTTGTGAGAAGGGAAGGGACAAACAAGGAGCCTCATGGTCTCTGTTCAGGCTTCTGAAGGGCTCCCATCATTTCTGCTCAATTCCATTGGCAAGAACTTGACCACATGGCCATTCCTAACTCCAAGGGAGGCTAGAAATGAAATTCTGGTCATGTGTCAATACAAAGAGGCATGGACTTTGAAGGACAGCATGCTGCCTCAGGCCGGTCGGATATAGTAATACCTCTTTGCAAGGGCCCACTGAGTACAGATAAAGTATCTGGCACTTAGTAACTGCTCAATAAAAGTCTGCAATAGCTTCAGAAACTCTCTGCTCAATGTCCTCATTTCTTGGCCGCTGAAGAAACAGGTGCAGAGAGAAGAGGCATCTGCTCAGTCACCCAGTCAGTGAGGGGCCAAGTTGGTCCAGACTTTGTGTCTGGGATCCTCCATCTCATCCTCCCACCTCGTATTTCAGATTACCTGACCCAGACCCACCAGGGACTGAGCAGAGTGGGGACCCAGGTGACCTCTCTGCGGGAGGCAGTGTTAGGGAACAGGATCCTGAGAGGGACCCCGTGCTCCAAAGCACCACCCTGAGCCCGGGCTGCACCGCTTTGTGACTAGGTAGGTGGGGCCCGGGTTGGTTTCCCAGACAGGAGGCAGGGCTGCTCTATGACAGAGGGCCACACCCACCCCCTGGGAGAGGGGACCCCGCTGGGAGCCGCTGCCACGTCGGGATGCAGCAGTAGGTGGCTAAGGAGGATGGCGTTCCTGGGATTCTTTCTCCTCCTCCTCCTCCTCCTCCTCCTCACCAACACCGCTGCCCGGGGGGAGTATGGCGTGGTCCACGTGGTGTCAGAAAATTGGAGCAAGGACTACTGCATCCTGTTCAGCTCCGACTATGTCACCCTGCCCCGGGACCTGCACCACGCCCCACTCCTGCCCCTGCACGATGGTACCATGGCACCCTGGTGCCCAGGCAAGGACTCCTCCCGCCAGGTCCGGCCCGGCGCCCCCCGCCGGCGGCCCCTCCGCCACACCACCGCCATGGTCATGAGGGGCAACTGCAGCTTCTATGCCAAGGGCTGGCTGGCTCAGGGCCAAGGCGCCCACGGGCTGCTCATCGTGAGCCGGGTCAGCGGCCAGCAGTGTTCAGACACCACCCCGGCGCCCCAGGACCCCCACCAGCCCCTGCCCGGCCTCACCATCCCCGTGGCCGTGCTCCGCTACAACGACATGCTCGACATCCTCCGCCACACCCACGGCAGCGCCGAGGTCCGCGTGGCCCTGTATGCGCCCCCAGAGCCCGTCCTCGACTACAACATGGTGATCACCTTCATCCTGGCCGTGGGCACCGTGGCCGCTGGCGGCTACTGGGCCGGCCTGACCGAGGCTGACCGGCTGCAGCGGCGCCGGGCCCGGGGGGGAGGGGGGCCCGGCGGTCACCACCGGCAGGAAGCAGTGGCCGCCCCGCGGGGACAGGAGGAGGAAGACGAGGGCGCGCCGGTGGACTTCACGCCGGCCATGACGGGCGCGGTGGTCACCATGTCCTGCTCCATCATGCTGCTCCTCTACTTCTTCTACGACTGCTTTGTCTACGTCATGATCGCCGTCTTCGGCCTGGGGGCGGGCACCGGCCTCTACAGCTGCCTGGCCCCCCTGGTGCGCCACCTGCCCCTGCAGCAATACCGCTGGCCCCTGCCTGGCCACCGCGCCTGCCTGCAGCTGCCCCTGCTGCTGCTGGGCGGCCTGTGCGCGGCGGTGACCGTCCTCTGGATCGCCCACCGGAACGAGGACAGCTGGGCGTGGCTCCTGCAGGACGCGCTGGGCGTGGCCTACTGCCTTTTGGTCCTGCGGCGCGTGCGGCTGCCCACGCTCAGGAACTGTGCCTTTTTCCTGCTGGCCCTGCTGGCCTTCGATGTCTTCTTTGTCTTCGTCACGCCCCTCCTCACCAGGACCGGTGAGAGCATCATGGTGGGGGTGGCGGCGGGCCCGGTAGATTCCGTGAGCCGCGAGAGGCTGCCCATGGTGCTCAAAGTGCCCTGGCTGAGCTTCTCATCCTTGACCTTGTGTGCCCAGCCCTTCTCCATCCTCGGCTTCGGTGACATTGTGGTCCCTGGCTTTCTGGTGGCCTACTGTCACCGCTTTGATGTGCAAGTCCGTTCCCGCCAGGTCTACTTTGTGGCCTGCACGGCGGCCTATGCCGCGGGCCTGCTGGTCACTTTTGTCGCCATGGTCCTCATGCAGATGGGCCAGCCCGCCCTGCTGTACCTGGTGTCCAGCACCCTGCTCACCAGCCTGGCCGTGGCCGCCTGTCGCCAAGAGCTCGCCCTCTTCTGGACGGGCCAGGGCAGAGCTAAGACACCCGCCCAGGCTGTGGCCGGGCTGCGTGGCGCCCCTTCATTTGGCTCCGCGCAGAAGCGGGAGGATACGGCAGACGTCCACACAGCCAGCAAGTTTGAGGGGGCCGCCAGCCACCTGGCAGGGAACTCAGACACCAACCTTGAAGAGGACACAGCCGAGATTGCCACCATATCCGAGGATGAAGCCGCTGGTCCGGATGGCCACAGCGATAGCTCTGAAGGCTGGAGCGATGCCAGCCTGGACACTGACGAATTTCCTCGTGCCTCCCCTGGGGCCTCGGAGTTGCTGATACCTCTGATGCCACCGATGCCATCGCCCTCAGAGCCGGGCCACGCGCAGGCCCGGGCCCACGACGCCGGCCTGCCCTGGACGGGGCTCCACGAGAGGAAGGGCTTGAAGGTAAAGGAGAGCATGTCGACCCAGCCTCCCTTGTGAACCAGCACCCGGAGACACGTGCCTCTAGAAGGTCCGGCAGAATACCTCAGAGCAAAGCCACACGCAGTCAAAAGGAAATCAGGGCATTAAAGATATTCCGTGTCTACCCAACAGAGCTCCATTTTTTGCTGGGACTGTAAGAAAGCAGTGGCCACAGAGTAAGTCCATGTAAGGCCTGGAGGGTTCTTGGGAGAGGTGCCAACCCCAAATCGTGCAGAGTGGGAAACAGGCTCAGAGAGGGCACAGGACTCACACGAAGTTACTCAGCAAGGCCAGGATTTGCTCCCAGGGCTTGCTGGGCAGTGACTTCCCCTCTCCCCCACTGCCCACCCTCCACGCCAGAGCCCCGGCTCCTCAGCTTGGTGGACAGGTCCCATCCCTCATCACCTATCTTTTCCTCATGGCCGGGTCCAACTGAACCATTACTGCTCCTCGACCACACCCCTGGCTCCCATACTTCCCTCACCGACTCTGGACACGGACCAATCCCTTCTGGCTTCAGCAGTCTCATATTCAAGATGGGACTTATAATACCATATCTACCTGGAGGCAGAGGCATAAACAAGATGACCTCTTGAGTACCCCCGTGGTTTTTTAGGCTGGATGGTGCGGTTATATGTTGCTTAAGCAGAGGAAACAAACCCGGGGGTCAGGAAGGCCTCCTGGAGGAGTCTATGTTGGAGGTGAGGGAATCATATCCACAGAGGCAGTGTGGTCCAACGGTTAGGGTTCTTGAACCAGCTGTCCCCCCAGAAATTCCAACTCTGCCACTGACCCACAGCGTGTCACTGAGCAAGTGATTTAATCTCTTAGGGGCATGGTCTCCTCATCCGTAAAATGGGATAATAATAACAACTCTACTTATCATAGGATTTGGGGAAGGTTGGAATAGTTGGCTTATGTCAGGTGACTGACATAATGCTTTATGAATGTTCATTCTGTTTCTATTACTCTCCTAAATCCAATGCCCACAAGCCTTTGAGTTCTGGCCACAACTTCCCCCCAAGCCCTCCACACCCTGCACCCCTGCCCCTACCTCCTCGAGTCAGGGAGTGCACACCAGACCCCCCCACACCCATCCTCCCCCAGTAGGGTTCCCCCACCTGGAACTTCCTGCTCCTCCCACCCCCAGGATTGGGACTGGCTGGCTCCTTCTTCTTCCAGTCCCATTTCAAATGCCCCCCCCCCCCACAGGGAGACTTTCTTTGAAGACCCTTTCTAAAGAAAGCCCAGTCTCAGTCACTCTCCCTTACACCTGCTTACTAGTTTTCTCATCTCCCCCAGTCCAGCATCAGCTTCGTGAGGGCAGGGACCACTCTGTCTTGTTCATCCAGGTGGTTCCAGAGCCCAGAACAGGGATGGTATGTCGTTAGGCGCTTGATTTGTTTGTTGGAGGAATGGATGAATGAATGAGTGAACAAATGAACGAACGAATGAATGAGTGGCTGATCCAGCATGAACCATGGAGGAAAAGGGGACACGGTGGAGAAGGCCCCACCGTGCAGGCCACCTCCCTGGGCTCCTACAGGGCCTTGGTCAGTGTGGCGATGGGACTCTGAGGGGCTGGCTGGGCCCTGGGTATGCAGGGGTGCAGGTAACAGGCATCTCGAAGAAAGCCCCCTCACTGACCCCTCCGCAAACAGCACCTGAAGGCCCGAGCCGGACAAGGGCAGAGCGTGGAGTCTGGGCCAGGACACTGACCGGCCGAGCTGGCAGCTCCTCCCACTGGAGCCGGCAGCCATCTGGCCCGGACAGAGGGGCCTCCGCAGGCCCTGGCTCACTCCCAGCCCAAGCAGCCTCCCCACTGCTGCCCTGCGTCACTGGGCCTCCCAGGGGTGGGCTACATCCCTGCACCAGGCCTGGTGGGGAGGGCTCTCAGCCCCCTCGCCCCCAGAGCGGGGGACAAAGGACCTGTCTCCCAGGAAGTTGTGGTCAGGGAGGGGCCTGCGCAGTGGGTGTCCCCATGGCGGGGCCTACGCCTACCTCCAAGAGGAAGATTCTCAAGGGGAGGGTCTGGGGGGGGGAGGCCCCATCCTCCATCCACGTCTGAACTGGACTCAGGGAAGGGCGAGTCGGACTCTGTCCTCACGGCCCGACCCGGCAGAAGCAAGCATTCAGAGGACACGCTGTCTAGACAATGGGAAGAATAATACGATCTACCTAGGGGCTGCGGTGAGCAGAAACCATACGGGTCAGGGGCTGAGCCTGGGCCCCAGAAATCTTGTAAGTGCTGCTCCTCTGGTGGCCCACGGGCCTCTGCTCCCGCCTTGACCCCAGAGCCAACGTCTCCTTTTAACTGTGGGTTCTGCCTCACTTTGCCGGTCTGCTTCCCAGAGACTGGGTTGAAGCCAGGTGGCCGGACCAAGCCGCCACCTGTCAGAGGTGCCCAGAGCTGGCAGCCCCCCTCCCCCAGAGGGCCACAGGATGCTGCACATGTGCACACACACACCTGAACACGCGTGAAGATATGCGCACACGTCCATACAGGGCCCTCGGATACACATGCATATACACACACGTACTTCCACAGGCATGTGTGGGCCCGGTACTGGGCCCTCGCACATACCTGTGCACACACGTGCACCTGGGCTCTGACCTGTTGCTGCTGTTCCCTTCCGACGCAGCCCTTCCCCACCAGGCCCACCTGGGGCCTGAGGGAGTGAGGGTGCTGATGCCTGGACTTCCCACCCCAGAGGGCAGGGCGGCCCTTTCCTGGTGAGGCAGACATTGCAATGCGATGCTCAGACGCCCCTTCAAGGAGGGCTTGCGGTCGACAGCGCCCTCTAGGGGCCGTCTCCTCATTCCGGCCCAGATTGCTTTGCAGGAAGATGGGAGACTCGGAGGGCCAGCTCATGACCAAGCAAGACAGCGGTGCCAGGGCTTGGACATCTGCCCCCAAGCCCCGCTGCCCCGGCAGAGATGGAGGCAGGCCTGCCTCCCTGTCTGACGGCCCCGCCCCGCCTGCTTCCTCTGATTCCTTGGCATTCCTGACTCCGTCTTAGCATCTGCTTCTGGGAGAGCTCCACCTGTGACAGGTGGAGCCTAAGACGGGGCCAGGGCAGAAACCAGCTTCCTGAGGCCACATGCAGGGCTCCAGGTGGCCGAGGCCTGGCGCCGGGGCCGTGCTTTGCTCGGGCTACCCAGCCTTTCTCTTTGTGGCCTCATTTAATCCCGGCAAGAACCCCATGAGGTGAATAGTGGCAGCCTTGGCCTTTTTGAGTTAATGAAGAGTTTGGTGCCCTTCTGGATTCCCTGGAGAGTGAGAACCAGCAAGGACCCATGAGGTGCTCTAATCCATAGATGAGGAAAGGAAAGCCCAGAGAGGGTCAGGACCTACCCAAGGTCACACAGCAACGGGATAGCAGAAATAGAACACAACTCTGGTCTTCTACCTCCCAGTGCAACAGCTGGGGCCAGCTTCATGCCTCAACACCCTTTCCCGCACACATCCTGGTGTGCAAAGCATTCCTCTTCCAGGAGAACTCGGGGTCTACTCAGCCCTCTACCCTGTGCCTCTCAGGAGGTACAGCCCTCCATTCTCCCTGAGGAGTAGTTGTGCGTGTTGAGAAGGAAGGTTTGTGATTCAGGGTGAAGCGTCTCCTCAGCCAGCGCAGGAGGACGCAGCTGGACTCTGGGTCACTGAGACCTCAAAGCTCAGCACGGCTATGCGCTCACCCCGTGACACGGAACAACCAAGGCCACCCCTCTGCGCCTCAATACCCTCGTCTGTAAAACAGTTTTTGCTAAGACTTACCTTGCAGGTTTGTTATAAAGATTAAATGGGGTGAGGTAGGGTATAAACAGCTAACATCTGCCAAGCACTGACAACAGACTAGGCATACACATTATCGCATTACAAGAAACCAGGTTTTAGAGCAGAAATCTCCAGGACAGCACTTAAATGTCCCCACATGCCATCTTTCCCAAATCAGCTTATAGTTCCTCAGGATTGAGCTCCCAGAAATGGAGCCATCCTCTTCTTTTGGTCGCTCCATCCAGGCCCAGTGGGATGTGGTGGGTGGGCAGGTGAACAAGGACACCTCCAGCAAGCCAGACAAGTGGGTCCCTTTGTAGTTAGATGGAAGCAAGGAAGGTTTTGTGCCTTTTTTTCCAGCAATGCTGACTTTTAAGCGCTTTTGTGCTGCCACCTGCTGGTCAGTAAGATAAGAGCAGGCGGGCTCACACCCTAAGGGCCAGGGAGGGGCATTCCATTAGGGAACTTTGGAATAACCACAATTAGGGATGATATTCCAAAAATATATACTAACCTACTCATCAGCAGAGTTCTGAAGCTCCTCGGGCCCAGGGGTAACGCTTTAGAAGCTTGTTGTGAGAAGGTGGAGGTGTCCTGGAGAAGGGTCTGAGAGTATTTTGATATTTTATGAAATGAAAAAGCTCCAGCACAGCACCGCTGAATGTCCTTAATGCTTGGAGATGGTTCACGCTCTGAGGCTCATCCCCTCTCATAGAACCAGGCCAGCGTGGGGCGCCTGGGTGGCTCAGTCGGTTGAGCGTCATGATCTTGGGGTTTGACTCCGGTCATGATCTTGGGGTTTGTGAGTTTGAGCCCCACATCAGGCTTGCTGCTGTCAGCCTGTCAGTGCAGAACCTGCATCAGATCCTCTGTTCACCTCTCTTTGCCCCTCCCCCGCTTCCACTCTCCCCAAAAGAAATAATTAGAAGAAGAAGAAGGAGAAGAAGAAGAAGAAGAAGAAGAAGAAGAAGAAGAAGAAGAATCAGGCCACCATGAAGACGTGTTTGTGGCCGCCAGCACGTAGACCATTGTTGGGAGATTGGACTCCGTATGGGCCTCCCACCCTGAGGCCAGACCTCGTCCTTCTTCTTGGAGGCCCATAGATGCCCTTCCCACACACACCTGAGCAATTATTCATTTTGTTTGGGAACACATCCGTGCTCACCACTGGTTCACTTTCCAAATGCTTAGTTTTATCTTTAGGAGTAACTCTTCCCAGGACTTAGCCTCTCGCCTCTAGGACTGCCAACAAGAGCTCCACCAGGCATGGAAGTCTGCGCCCACCTGGGATCGGGAGACATGGTCTCGGAAAGATCCCAGGAAGGGAAGCTGGAAAGGGAAACTGAGGCTGCTGCTG